TTGCAATTTAGGAACGATTCCACACGCACAGGGAGGTTTTTGTTAATTTCTTTCAGATGATGCTGGAGCACTTTGCATTATGTTGGACTCCTGATCACCTCTTTTTACAGAAATAAATCTTAACAGTTGATCATTCCAATCACTTTTATAAGAGATGCTGTATCTTATAGTCAGCTTGTTATGTTAGTGCTGAAAGTGCTCTTTAGGAAAAAGAAGGGGTGCTCTGCAAGGGCATTGTTCTGCATCTTTGTATTATTATGTTCTGGGGACACATCTAAAGGCATTTGTTGAGAAAAGACCGATAGAAACTTGATGACTTGCATTGCTAGAAACAAGACTTTCTAGTTCCCTCGGTAATGTAAATACTTACAGTAACTCACAAATTCCCTGATATTGCCCATAATCTGAAAATATTTAGCAATTCCAGTGTCTTTCAGGACATGCTGATAGTTCTGTTAACTGAGGAGAACCCTGTGTGAGATAGCAAGACTTTCAAATTAAACAGTTTTTCTAAACTGTGTAGAAATTATATATATATATATATATATATTTTCAGTGGTTTATATTTTAATGGTGGCTTGCTGGCCCAAAGTAGGAGATTTTCCACTGACTTTAGTAAATATTTTTGATCATTTCTATAAAATAATGCAAATAATTTCAAGAGATTTAAGATTTCTAAGGTGAAAGAGGCATATACAATTTCATGGATTTTAAGCACAGGAAGAAATGCCTGCCTTTAAAGCACTTAGAATGATTACAGTGTATAGGCAAGGTTTGAGCTGAGATATATTGGAAGGTATTTTCACTGGTTTCACTTTTTTTGCTTAATTCCAGAAGAGGAATTAAAAACTCAGATATCTAAGGAATTGCTTTTGTCTTTTGAAACAGAATTGGAATAACCATGTGAATTAAGCTACGGTGAGGCAGGTTTCACTAAGGAAGGAAGTCACGGAACTTAATGTATTAAACTCCTACTTTCCAGACAGACAGAGGCATGAGTTAAAAAGTTTCCCTCTCATAACTTCCGGAATTTTTAACTGTTAACCATTTTCCATGCCAAAATCTTGTATAAAAGCAAACATCTGTTTGCACAGTGCCTTTTGTGTAAGATAACATAAAGATGGATGGGGAGTCCTAGTTGTGGTTGCTATTTGGAAGTCAGCTTGGAAATCCAGCATGTTCTAAGGGGAAGGAAGTAACTTGCTGCTTACAATCTCCCAAAATGTACCCAGATAGCTGTTTCAAGGTTTAGTAGTCATGTGGACATGACAAAAGCTGCATGGTAAAATAAACTGTAAACAGGAGGAGAGGAGGTGTCTTCCACATTAATAGGTATAATTTTTATGCCGCCAAACTGTATAAAGTTCCAAATACCCTCTAGAAGGAGTTCAGTCTTGCTTTGCATCTAACTTCCAACAGTGGCTGGGGTTGTAAATGAGTACTGTAAATGAGCCCTTTTGAGGATGAATGGCAGTCTCTTTTCTTTTCCTGCAAAGTGAAGAAGTGGATTAAATTAATCTGTCCTGACCTAGTTGAACTTGATGATCCTTATGGGTCCCTTCCAACTTGAGATATTCTCTGATTCTATGATTTGTCCTTATAGCTGAACTGCTACTGCTCCCCAGGGTGGCCATGGGTTTGCACATGCGGTGCAGATACCACCTGGGTGCACTGTGGAATGTGTTTGTTGGCATTTCCACTATTTTGTTCTGGAAGAAATATAGATGGAAGAAATTTCAACTTGTATTTCAGGATTTCAGTGAGACATCCTCATGTGCTGGCAGCTTTTTTGCTTTTCCTCTCTCTCCCCTGTCTGCCATCTTTTTTACCAGTTCTAGCTATAGATATGTGAAGTGTCTTCAAACTCTGCTTTGTCTGCCATGGTCTGTATGTTCTGTCCAAAGATCAAAAGCAGAAATAACTGAATCCCTGGGAGCATTCAGGCTGTAATAGACTCTGACATGGAGAAAGGGTCAGGAAAGCAGAAGTAAGTCCTTTCCAGTCAGCCATTCAGCATGTATTTGATCAAAACCCAGTAGGTAATAATGCAAAAATGTGGATTGCTTCATGGGCCACAAGTAAAATTTTTCCATCACAAAATGCTTTCTGTTCAGAGAAAGCAATTTCCTTAGAACAATTTCCTCAGATGCACTTCTCTTTTCTCTCTGTTCCTAAGGGATTTGCAATGTGGGTTAGTGGTGAAGTTGCTAATATTCTTTCAAAGTGGACCATTGCCTTCTCTAACAACAGTGTTACATGATTTTATGGCATGAAGTTTTCTCTGGTAGGCGCATAAGTACAAGAATCTAATGTGCCAGCATGTACAGTGAGTCACAGTAGGTCCTCGTGTGCCTTTTGGCAAGGAAAGCTCATGGTCTCTCATCCCAAATACAGTGCCAGTATAATGTGGAAGTCTGGTAACCTCTAGGCTGCAATAGGAACCTGAGAGGAGGTGAATGTGCTCTACCCAGTTACCTGAACAGGCTTCTCTGATATTCTGCACTTAACTGAATTTCTTTCTCTGTTGGGTGTTTCTGAATGTAAACATTTATTTTTTTGCATGTAAATTACATTTTTATTGGTGTGAACAAAATGGAGCCTTATCTCTCCCAGTGTTAGACTATCTAATGAGAAAATTTTTATAATATAATTCATACTTTCTGTTATTGTACAGTAAAAACATTAGCAAATTAGATGAAAATATGCAAAGAGTCTGACTTTCCAGCTTATATGCTGTCTTAGGTTATTTAGGGAAGTTTTAGGATATTTGCATGAAATATATTTTACAGCTTAAAATAGAAATAGTAAAAACTTCAACATTTTTCCTTTCAAATACTATTTGGAATTTCAGGAAATCATGCTATAGCTACAAATGCAATTTTGTAATGTTCATGACTGAAACCTCCTATGAAGCTTTTGCTAATAGACCTCATTAAAGAAGGAAGCTAAGCCTGCATATCTCAAGTGCAAAGCAAAATTGCCTAATACAGTCAAAGTAAGTAACTAGTTCTAGAAATGTGAAAGCTGTTTTTCATCTCACATTCCCCCCTGAGGAAATTTGAACTGAATGTCAAGATTTAACTACTGTAATGTAGATTTTCCCTCATGGTCGACCACTGCCCAGTAATTAACATTAATGTCAGCTCTGGCATCTCAGTGAATTCATTTTCTTGTCTTCTCTTTCTGCTGATTTTTCTAATTTGAAAAAGAAATCAGGTATCCTAAGATAATTTGAATCCCAAGCTTGTCTGTGCACTGCATAGATTCAGTACTATTTTGGGAGGGGGATGTTGTGAGGGCAACACTTTGGAGTTGGAAAAGTTTATCTTGTAAGTATGTGGGATTTCAGTGTGGCTAAGACTTACAGTCATATCAGTGGCATGGGCATGCACATCAAGAGGATGTAACGGGAGAACATTTCTTATGGATCCTTTGATGCTCAAATTTCTTCAAAAACTCTTATAGAAAACTTCAAAACGTTAGCCCTTTCGAACTGAATGTGAGACTTGGGGTAAAAATTCTCTCCCTAAAAGGTACGACCTCCCACCCCAGCCCCAATGCCTTTTTTTTTTTTCCTTTTTTTTCTTTCCTATGGAAAACTAACCCAAACTGAGAGGTGATATCCAAGATAGCAAGATAATAAATTATGCAATATGCTACCAAAGGTACTGAGATATTATTAATGTAAGGGCAACTTAAGCACAAATTGATGCCTAATCTTTATGAGAAGATATCACCATTCATACAGTACAATCACTATAACAGTTGCTTCAGTTCCAGTAGGCAAGTGTTGTGGTTCTGTTTTTGTTTTCTGTTGTGATTCAAACTTCTTTGTAATTCATTTAGCCCTCTTGTACAAAATAAAAATATATCGATGACTATGCCAACAAATGCATTTGGACCAACAAACGTGTTAGGACAAGAGACAAGAGACAGAAACTGATGCACAGGAAGTTCCACCTGTATACAAGGAAGAACTTCTTTACTATGCTGGTGACTGTGCACTGGAACAGACTGCCCAGAAAGGTTGTGGAGTCTTCCTCACTGGAGATATCCAAGAACCATCTGGACACAACCCTGTGCCACATGCTCTAGTATGACCCTGCTTGAGCAGGAAAGTTGGACCACATGTGGTCCCTTCCAACCTTACCCTTTCTGTGATTCTATGAAAATTGTATTTGTTTCAGATCATATAAAAAAGTGAATGTTTGCATCCTGCAGAGACTTAAATCTATACAGGGAGCCACAATGATGACATCAAGGTTTTGCAGAACTTTAAGGGCCAAGTCATATAGATCTGTGTAGATTAAGAATGTATTTCAGCACAGAGCAGGGCCAGTGATTACCAGTGATTACCAGTATGAGAAACACACTTTTGTGTGTTTCTAGAGAAAGTTTTTGAAAGACTTTTGTATTGTCTGAATGCATAATGTAAAAGTTTGGTGAAAACTTAAAAATGTTCATGTGTTGGAGAAGACAGTAGTGTCCCACTCACTTTGGTATCATCCTATTTTTATGGTAGCATTTTGGGAATGTATATACTCTTAAATGCACTGTCTCATTTTTTCCTCATATTATTTTCATATTGTCATTCCAATCTTTTCTCTTTTTAATTTACATCTGGCTTTTTTAGCTCTTTCAACCACTCTTGCATTTCCTTGTTTGCTAACTTGTTTTCTCTATCTCATTTTTCCTTTTTTTTCTTCTCAGAAAAATCTGAAACATGAAGTTGTAAAATGGACTATAAACTGGTCAATTATTCACCTTTATCTCCACTTAAAAATGTCATTGTCAGCAGTAATAGGAGAAGGGGAACTTTCTCAGGAATGCTGCAGGCAGTGGCACAAGATGGAGATCACTGATACTAGGGAAGAGTAGCCTTTAGAAAGGGACCTGAGAAGTAAAAATCTGCACCAGAAGTTTTATGTAATTGGTGGTTTATTTGATATTCAAAATGTCAGTAGTAACAACAATAAGAATTGTTTCCAATTTTCTTTCAGCAACAAGAGCAAGACCCGACAAACTTATACATTTCCAATTTACCACTTTCAATGGATGAGCAGGAGCTTGAGAACATGCTGAAACCTTTTGGGCAGGTTATCTCCACGAGGATACTGCGGGACTCGAGTGGGACCAGCCGTGGTGTTGGCTTTGCAAGGTGCGTCAGTGGTGTTAGCCATGCTGGCAACCTTTTTCCTTTTTATAATTGAAAAGGCAGGAATAGGAGGAAAAGGCAGAAATTATTGAAAATATTAAAGTTTTTAAAGAGAAGGGAGATCTAGATGGAGATACCCAGTAGGATTTTGTTAATTCTTCCTGTGGTAAAGCAAATATGGCTGTGTCTCATCTTGCTTAGATGGCTAAATCTGAATCTATTGCTCTTACTGGACAACTATCTAGAATAAGAGTTCACTCTAAACCACTTCCTTCCCTTCTCTGTACTTCTGCTTTCTCTTCTATCCCTGAACCAGCGAGCAAGAGTTATGCAATGCTTCACAGAGACTTCTCCTGTGACTTTTCTGGCTTTTGAAGTTTGAATCCGAGGCAGGAGACCATAAGGAAGAACCCCTTCTTCCCCACCCCCTGCCTTTTATTTTCTTTCTTTTTCTTCATTAGCTCCTTAGAGAAAATGAACTCACCATTGCCCTTTGAACATCAGCCCTTTGAATTTTCAGGCTCATTAACATGATGTCAACTGGGAAAGAAAATATTTTTATTCACTTACAGTAAATCTCATCTTAAAATATTTGACTGCTTTGTCAAATATCCCACCCAAATCAACAAGAGAAAGTATTTTCCATAAATTAGTAGATACCTCCCAAATATTCTGTCCATGTGAGTCTACTTTTTCCCTAGTTAATTCATTTTTTTTTTTTCTGGGATCTCTTCATCAAAGCCTTTTCTGTGCCTTTCTAATATTTTATTCTATTTATTACTAAGTCCTGCTTTAAACCTTGTATGACAATCACAATTTAGAGGCTTTAAATTGAAGATTTCTATCGTCAAAAATGAAATCCCAATGCTTTGAGCAAAGAATTGGGATTCTCAAAATATGTTGTAAAATCTCTGTGAAGTCAAATTCCAGTAATTCAGATGTTCAGCCAGTATTACAATAGCTCTGTATTTGAACAAGTAGCAAAATCTAAAATTAGTGCACAGAAAAGAATTGAACAAATTATATCTTGTGATGAAGCCAATATTTTTAGGGTTTGGTTTTCCTGTGAGTTGGCTGTGGGTATTTCACAGCACTGTGATTTTTATTCTTCTCTTTTTTTTGATCTCTTCCCTCCCAACCCCTACTTCTCAGCTTTAATTGCTTATCAAGCTGTCCAGTTTCAAGAAGGTATAACAAAGGAACAAAATAGGATAATATTCATTATCTACGTTTAGAGTTTATCAAATTTTCTTCTGTTTAAATAAATCAACAAATATTTGTAATATTTTTGGTGTAAAATTAAGTGGCATTTCTATTTCATTCATACACTTGTATTTTATATATAGCTTTCACTTTTTGATACTATGAAGGGTAAAATCCAGTAACATCCAAGCTAAAATTCAGTAGGCATTTTGAATTCTTTCAATCTCTTCTCCCTAAACTTGCTTACAACTCTGCTTTGAATCAGTGGTATGGTAGGAAAATATATTTTTTCTAATATAGCTGGAAGTGTTTTAGAATCACATGCAAAAGTCCAAAAGACTTGTATGTATCCAAAACCTCACTTCTATTGAAGACTTTAAAAGAGATTAGTTTTCAAATATTTTCTCAACAGTTTCTGTATTATGCATTATAAGTTTCATATATGCATATATGTGAAGTTATTTTTATATACATATATATATAGTATACATAAGTTATTGAATAAGCTATTGTGGTTATATCTAATTAGAACTTCTTTCCTTTTGCAAGGTGAACATTTTTCTTCTACTGGAACATTTTTGGATACATATTAATTAAAGTTAAAATTGTCCAAGAAACTTGTAGACATTAAATATAGATTTTAATTTCTTCCCTTTGGGAGAATTTTATTAGATTAATGAAGAGTAATGTATTTTATCAAGTCTAGACTTGAGTCTGAAACTAAATTATATTGTTTGTTTTATGAGAGACAAAAAAATTAGATTTCTTTGATCCAACAATCCAAAACTTCTGAAAATTCTCTAAAAGGTATTTTTGGAATAATGAGGAAAACTTCTTGTTCAGTCTGGCATTTTGCTTGTTGTCTGTAATTGCATATTGTCAGCCTGTGCAGAAAGGCTACCAGAATTAAAAACATGCCAAGACTTAGTAATTTTTAGTCCTGTTTCTTTGTTGCTGAGTCCATTGGCCTAATTTGTGGATATGAATTATAGAACTTAATGAAAAAATAAAAAGAAATTGTCTGTTTGACATTACCATATATCATCTTGCAGACAGCTGCAAAATATGTTCATCTTTTAAAATAAATTTTGTTTTACTTGCACATCTCAGTCACCCATTGCAACTTAGTCCAAGCTGAGAGTTAGGACAGACACATCTACACTGCAATGCAAGGGTGTAGCTGCAGCCTCCGGAACCACTCCCAGACTGGCAGTAGCTCACCAGTAGCCTGCTCAATCTATTAAGTCTAGATCTAACAGCCTAAATGCACAAACCTGTTCAGGATTTTGGATATATTCTCAGTAGCTATCACAGCTATTGGTTCCTGTTTTGAAGGTAACTAGGAGACAATTAAATAGGAGTCAAGTACATCATTTAGTTGAAATGATGTGTGTAAGCTGAAAGCTGCAAAGTCAGTTTGGGTCATTCAGTCGACCATGTTTATATTTGGGTTTATTACTCTTAAAATGTACAGACACTTCAAAATCCTTTATGAAGAGTGGCATTAACCTTTGTTGTGTGCATCATGGACACCAAGGGTTCAGTTATGAGTGACAGTGATTCAGTCTTTCTGCTTCTTTCAAGACAGCAAAGGTACTTTACACTGTAGCTGTCCAAGCTGCCTAATTTCTGAGTAAATAGGAGTATAGTATTTTCAGTTTGGCACTGACTTTGGTCTCAGAGTGCATAAAATGTTAATGAGTTTAGTTTTACCTTTCTGAAATTATTTGTTCTTAGAAAACATCTTCTCTATTGCTCACACATGGGAAAGCAAGCCACAATAGTGAAGTGAGAAAAAGCAAGAAATATGCTTTGAGAAAAAGCAAGAAATACGCTTTAAGAAAAATCACAAACATGGGAATCTGGTTGAGTGTTTAATTTATGTAAATTATTCTTTATTTTCTTAGGATGGAGTCAACAGAAAAATGTGAAGCAGTGATTGCTCATTTTAATGGAAAATTCATAAAGACACCAGCAGGAGTTTCTGGTATGTTGCATATATTTCTAACAAGATGTATGAATGGGTTATTGCTTATGTGCTGGAAGCCTGTTACACTGATTGTTGTATCTGTCTTCTCATTTAGAGGCAGTCTTATTAAACTGTATCTTGTTGGTCGACTATAATACTGACTTGCTTGGAACACAGTAAATCACTTTTCTGTTGTAAACCTTTTCTAGGAATCTAATGTTGTTCTCTCCTAGCAGAGAGACAAGTAGCTTAAGCTAGCTATGCACAAATTTGTATCCCACATAATCCCAGTTGAAGTCAGGAAACATGTGTATCAGAACAGAATCTGACTGATTGTCCATGAACAGGGTTTTTTTCAGAGACAAAAGATCGTCTACTTTTGTCATCTGTTGATGATTTTTTCAAAGTATTTTTCAAAAATTTATTTAATTATAAAAAAATTAGGATCTGCAGCAGTGCCTGACAGTATCATTCACTGAGGAGCTGCGACTCTCAAGTCGTTGCAGGTTTTGAGGTTCTTCAGGAAGCTGGAAGGAGGTCAACATAGAATGCTGCTTCTAGAAATATCATACAAGGCAAAATTCAGAGAAAGCTGTGTAGTACGATTTTGTTGTCACACCAAGTTCCTCATCAGTTTGCTTCGTCAGCACTGTTCTTAGAGACAAAATGTATATTCCATAAACACTGAAAAATGAGGAAAGGAAATTCAGAGCTGCAGAGTAAAATAGAAAGAGGACAAGAAAGAAGGAAAGAATATATGCCTGACATTCCAGGCAACTTTCGGTAACCATTTTAATGAGAATCCCAAGTGGGAATTTTACAAATTACACTGTTGATGTGGTCACTGAAGCTGCTTTTATCCTGCTGGTGAAATGTTGTCTGTAGCCAGACCCTGTCACTGAGGAGGAGGAAGGTAGCCCTCAGCAGGCAGACAAGAATGCAGCTTGTTTAGTAAAACTACATACATGCCTCGTCCCTGAAAGATTGCACCAGTTTGAGGCAGTCTGTGCTGCAATAAGGATGGAAAGTGCTTCAGAGCACAGGAAACCACTCCCTTCAGCAACACTAATTTAATACAGGATTTTGACTTCCCTGGCTGGGTTTTTGCAGACCCTTTGTCTTGGGATTAATTGCTGAGATTATTTAGTTAAAACTTTGTTACAAAGTTTTCTTAAATTTAAGCACTCTGTTACATTTTTTCCTTTGTTACTTTATTATATTTAGTTAAAATGTTACAGCTCCTATGTAGAAACAGACCGTAAAGACAGTAGAAAACTGTAACAGAACCTCCTATTAGCGCTTTTTAGTTTTTTAATTTTTATTTTCACTTGCATTTTCCTCTTCTCAGTGAATAAGCCATCAAGCATGTCATTGCTAGTCATATTCTGGTGGACCATTGCTGAAGCTGCACCCTTTTATGTTTGGGTTCAACCAGATAGAAATGAAAAGTCGCTGCACAGAATTGTAAGAGCAATTTTTACAGTGTAGAAGAAACATTTACCAGAAAAATGTTAATAATTAGGATCAAGAAATTTTCACAGAACTGTCCATTGTCTGAAAGTGGAAACTAAAGAGGGGTCTCAATATGTAATCCACTTCACAGACTTTAACTTGTAATGCTTGCTTGGCAAAGTAATCTAGGCTCTCTATGTAGAACAGGACAAGAAACACACACCTCCAGAGACTGGTGGTATCGTTGCTGTCAGCTATTCTTGTGATTACGAAGGGTGTCTCGATCAGTCACTCAGATAACTCTAAACGTCTGAAAGTCAGTTAAGTGACATGAGTTTCACCTTTCATAATACTGAAAAAGAGACAAATAATTAATTACATAATGGAGTCATGAAAACATTGTTTTTTAAAGACCCTTGATTTTGTTGCGTGAAGTTTCATTGCTCCTTGCAAAGGTTTTTATGGAGTTCAGATTCTTCCAGGAGTTCTTTACCGCACAGCAAGCACACGTCCAGTAATGCAGTCATATTAGAGAATTCAACTTATGCATAATAATATGCTGCAGTCTGCCAAAAAGTGGGGCAGAGTCATGGTGCAACTGAGATCTTGGACTACCTGCACTGAGAAAAGTGATTGTAGTGGGAAACCTCTTGGACAAAGGTTAGGAAAAGGTTTTGAAATAGATTAGCATCTTTTGGGCTTATGGAGGAGCAAGTTCAAAGACGTGCAAAATAAAATTGTAGAACTGGAACTATGTTTAAATTAAAACCTTGTGTCCTAGAAACTTAGCTAAAATCAGCAAAGGGAGCTGGCTCTAAAAACACTGTTATCAGGATGAAGAGGGTAGGAGAGACGGGCCTGTAATGAAATAGGTGTGGGAGGAAGAACATCTGTTCAACAAAAACATGCTTTCATAATGCAGCTTTGTTATTTTAACTAAGTTTGGGTTTAAATGGAAGAATGGGTTAAATGGTTATAGGAAGCATAGATGAAACCTTCTCTGGAGTATGAGAAGACAGAACAGAAAAACCTATAAGAATCTGGGAAGGCCGAGGATAACACAGCATGATCACAGAAGTGTTGACTCTAGAGTTGAGTGAGTGATGATACTGAGCAAGCTAAACCCAGATGTAACAGGCTATTCAGGCTTTATTTAGCTTAATGAAATATATTCAATATTTAGTGTGTCCCTGTTTGTCTTCAGTAAATAACAAGAAGGGTTACCTTAGAGAGCAATTTGAAATGCACTGCAAGTTGGTATAATCCTAGAACTCCTAGAAGTGATATATTAGTTTCACTCTTTGTTGTTGGGGTTTGTACTTTTTTATGTAAGTTGTTGTAATAGTTTGTTATGTTTTATGGGCAATGACTTCCTCTCTAGTTCTCTCAGAACTTTAATTTTTATACTTAATTCTCTTCTCAAATGAACATTTATTACATGATTGCTGTAATCTTGAAGTAACTTTTGCATTTAGTTCTACTTTTTAAAAGAAACTATTAAAGAACTTAAAGAAGAACTTAAAGAACTATTTTTTCAGTGAATAATATGATATTTAAAGCTTTTCTATTCTCCTGTAAAATGTAAACCTCATGATGTGAATTGCAGGAAACAGACTAGACCAGTAAAAGGAGCCAGGACACAGTAGATGAGTAGTGAGAACAGAGCACTGTACTTAGCCTCCTTCCCCTAAAGATGATACAAATGTTCACTGTGTTTATGTTTTTGTGTTGGATCCCTAATGATTGTAGGAATTATCTGCTAGGCAAAGTCATGCAAGGCACCAACTCCCTATCACAGTAGCATGTAGCTGGGTGATGATATGTGAGAATAATTATATAAATGATTCTGTAAAGCAGTTGTGCTGTAGAATCCATAAGATGTGTGTAAGTCTATTGTCTCATATTTAAAATTAAAAGTGTAGGAGTTGAAAAGTTACCAAAGTTTTATGCATGTTCTAAAGGCTTTGGAACCTATTTCTTTATATTTAACATTTCTTTTAATATTTCTTCTCCTGAAAAAGAATGGAGGTGATTTTTAATTTTTTAAATGGCTGTAAGGTAGAGAGCATTTTTGCTGAACATCCCATACCATTTTTGCTTCATGAATGGCTGGTTATGGTGATGATCCAAAAATCATAGATTATCCATGACCCACTCCTCTCTTTCCACTTACGATAAACTTATTGGTCACTCAGATTATGTTTTAGGGAGGAAATTGAGAGTGTGAGAGCCCTGCTCCTGCTCGTGCTCTTGACTAGACTAGGAAGAGGTCCATAGACCCTACTGTTTGAAATGATTCTGATCTTGGACATCTTTCTAGTGCAAGGGAGGAGTGCAGTTGGAGCCTGGAAGTAGCTATCTTCTGTCAGTCATTTACGAGTGTTTTCTATTTGCTTGCCTTTACAAAATATCCAGCACTGAAGATCTCTGTATAGTGAATTTAAGCCACTTGACCCTAAGTTCACATTTCTTAGTTATCTCTCACAGGTTCTTTAGAAATAATCTGTGAACCACAGCCTGAAAACCACTGCTAAAGAGTATCAAGACCTCACCGTGCAGGTGTTACTCCTGTTAGTCACGCAGAAGAATGAAAATTTCATTCATTAGATCAAGACCCTGATATTACCTCACCAAGGTTGTGGGTTTGATCCCTGTATGGGCCATTCACTTCAGAGTAGGATTTGATGATCCTTGTGGGTCTCTTCCAACTCAGAATATTTTGTGAAATCTGTGAATTAGAAGCTTATACTGCTCTAACTTCCGTAGTTTGCAATTACTGCTTTAAGAAGCAACATAGGAATAGAAAAGAAAAATACTTCTCAAACTGACTTGAAATATACTTCTGTGACGAATTATTAAACGTTGTATAAATTATTAAAGCAATGGAACCCTGAGCATTGTGTTTAAGTGGAGACTAGGATAGTGAAAGGTATATATTTAAGTTCTCTTTAAACTTACAAAGCTACCCTGATCTTGGGTTGTATAACTTCTTTTTTAATTCACACAGCCTTTAGCAAAAGCTTCTAACTCTACAGGCTTGCTCTACCATTTAATTGATGTTTTAATGTCAGAATTCATTAAGTCCCATATGCTTTGCACTAGAAAATAAGCAATGAAAGTCAATAAAAGATACAGTTTAATTGAAAACTGACTAAAAGAATAGTATTTTTCAACTATTTTATTGTATTTTTTCGTATCTGAAGGCAAGGTTTATTGAAAAGTTGGTAAAGGGAGCCGTAAGTCAAGGGTGTAAATACAAATTCCAACAAAGAACATCAGTTTTGTTCTTGTACTTATAGTATCACCTGCTATGTATTTGGGTAAACACTGAATTAAGAAAGACAGAATTCTAATGTAGAGATGTGAGAAAGTGTGTACAACAAGGAAGAATTTACTCTCTGGACTAATATTGCATTCATATCTCTCTTCTGTAAAAATATTAGCCCTAGAGGAGGATGATTTGGGGCAGGAAGAGGAGGTCAACCCTTTCCACACCCAAATTTTAAGGCCCCGACCTGCTGTTAAAGAGCAGCAAAGCTCACAGTTACAGTTACAGACTGCCTCCATAGCTGCAGGCATCCACAAATTAGTGAGAGTGCTGGTTTTCATTAGATGTCAGAAGAGTGGGCATGTAAACATGGTGTCTTAGCTGCAAAAGCTTAAGTCCATTCTATGTTGTAGCCTTTTACATCAGCTCTTTCTTAGCTGTGAATGCAATACTCTGTCTTTCGGTCTTGCACATGCAGACAAGTCACCAAATGATTAATGATCTGCTTCATCACTGGGCCTGCATAGTTCCCAACAATTAAACAATAAAAATGACTCTCCCTTCCTTCCTGGACTACAGAAGATTGCTTGACTAGTCTGTACAGCTTGTTCGAGTTTTTTGTTCAAATACGTATATCTATTATAAACATGTTCTTATGTGCAAGAGAGAGAATATGTTACATATTGGTGAAAAATATAACAGAAGGTAAGCTGAATAAAATAAACTTCAGATTTCATTTTGGAAAGAGTAAGGACTATGTTCATTCTTTGGTGGGAGGGAGATCAGTAGATCATACTTGGCTCCCACGAAGGTTTATCTCCTTCTCATGACCCTCCATCCGATGATCATCAGTCATTGTGTTGTTGAAGGAATGGACACAGTGGCATTTGGGTCACATGTATGGAAGAGCAGCCAAAAATTGCAGTTAGGCTTTCAATTGGAGCGGTCCCTGCTGTCAGCATTCAGATCTTGAACCAGAATCAGGGAAGGCCAATGCTATAGAGCCTGCTTGCAACAGCTGATGGTATTAAAGAGATGATCTGCATTGTTTTTCTTAATGTGAATTGGAACATTCACAGCATTTGGTCTCTTTCATGTGTGCAGTGAGGAGCAAGAGAAGGTCAGAGAAACAAGGGTTCCCATGACCAGATCCATGTTCAGTAAGATGGAGTACTAACTTCTGGTAATCACAAATTAATGCCTTTTTAAGTGTGAGTTTTTTCATTGCTGAAGGTTTTGGATATTACATACGCAAAATCCAATTAATGTGGATAATTCTTATTCCATTTTTTCTTCCTCTTTAAATTTGTCAGGAGAATTTTTACAATGCCCCATAGAATATGTTTAATCATCTAAAATTTAGCTGTTTTCAGTTATCTACTGACAAATCAAATTTATTCTTAAAATAGGTTTTCATGAACATTTTGTTCAACAGTTGGATAGGTTTAGTCTGATTTTTTTAAAAGATCTTTATGTTGAGACAATAATGGGAAATATAAGCACAAATAATGCTTTCAGAGAAGTATTTTACAATTCGTTATGGGGATTTTTAGTGAAAGCATAATGTAGCATTAAATAAAACATGTACTACTGTGAGTGCTATAATACAGAATCACAGGGCTAGAAATGTTTAGGTACTTTCTGGTGTCTTTCTAAGCTGTTCTCATGCCAGTTTCTTTTGATTTCACCCAAAATTTTATAGTGTGTATTTTTGAAGTCACGTATGCTCCCCACAAAACTAGATTTTGAAATAACATATAAGTAGTCAAAGATACTCAAGTTGAGGAAGAGCATTTTTTTAAAGACAGTTAACTTCAGTATTTGGATCTCCACTCTGTTTCTGATGATTTTTTTTCCTCATTATGTAAAATCAATTCAAATAATTTCATACATGAACCTGACAATTTTACCCATATTGACTACTGTATTCTGAGATTAACTCCTTTTATTTTAACAGAAATGTATGTGATTAAAATGCTTTGTGCTATGACAAAGTTATTGGGTCATTGGCTTTTATAAAGTAACATCAAAGTGTCATCAGCGTATGGATATAATACCTTTTTGCCCCCAAGCATGCCGAGACAGAAGTCGCTTTGCATGATGGAAGACCCCAAAGCAAAACTCAGTTCTGGGAATGCCAAAAATGCCCTCAGAAATGCAGAGTTTGGAAGATAATATTCTCCTACTTCGGAGTTTCTATTATTTCATTGTTCATTTACTCCACCATCCACAGGTGTCCAATACTTTTTCCAGTGTCATTAGCCTAAACTTTTCCTGGTTTATTTTATGATTATAGTCTTTTAATTACCATTCTCTTTAGGATAATATATTTTTATTTAATGCCATTGTCATGTTTAATATTATAGTCTGACTTTCTTATATTAAAGTTATTTGCCTGCTGTATAACAGCACACAGGTAAGAAAGGTGCAGGTCTCTGACCTATGTGGTCAATGTTGGAGACGAGTCAGGGAACCACACACCAGTTCTGTCTCCCAGTTCATGCCTTTTTTTATAGAGAAGGTAGAAGTATAACCAGAGCTAGTGTTTTAGCTATGCCATTCAAAGCCAGGGATGACTTGGCTGTTAAAGCTAGTTTTATGTCAGAGTTTTGAAAGTCAAGGTCTTTGTGAGATTATGTGTCTGAGGTTTTCAATAACAACCATCTTTTGCAAATGCACACAAGGTGAAGAGACATCAACACTGACCATGGTTATAGTAATAGATTTTGTTGAAAGTTTTTCTTGGGGTTGTTTTTTTTGCAGGTGGCCTTCCCACCCCATGTGTTTACTCTGCATTTGGAAACTTGTATGTTTTCAGGTCCAGCCATGTCTCATGAAGATGTTTCCAAACAGAGAATGACTGGAGGAGTGTCATGGTAAAGCTTAGACAGCTCATGTGTCAGGAATTATTGGCAGAGAAGCACTCACATCCAAGTCATACCAGTGCTTCCACCCTGTGATTAGAGAGGGTGTGGTGTGATGTAGCAGAGCTGTGCTTCAGCCATAGGTACTTGGAAACATGGAAGCTAGTAACAGGGAAAGAAAGAATACTATGCAAACTTTTCTTTTCCACTGCTTCAGTTCTGACATTAAAAGTTGAAGTCATGATCAGGAATTATATTAGGCAAAATAATAATAACAACAACCAAACCAAACCAAAGCAAACAAACAAACAAAAAAGAAAAAAAAAGGAAGTTTGGTGATGCTGTTTCACGACAGTAAGCAAAATCCCAAAAGAACAATATTGAAGAATTTCTATTTGCACTGTGTGTTCTTTATAGAGCAGAGATAAAATGGAAGTGGACAGCTGGGACATTTTTTCAGTGTAAGGTGGCAGGAGATAAAGGTGCCCACTCCACTTTGCTGGCTGGAGTAAGTGGAGGTACTGTGCCAGCTCTTCTGGCTATTCTGGATGAGCAGAGCACTTTAAGTTTGGGGACATTACTGAAACCTCCAAGGGTTGGGGAGAATATGTTATAGGCCTTCGGCCAGATTTGTTCTCCACCCTCTTTAGACATACCTCCAAGGAGGCAAAGCTCAGAATTCAGATGACAGTTCTTGTTCATCCCCAGACCAACAGACACATACTCAAGATATACAGACCATGTTTCTTTCCAACAGGTTTTAGAGCAGTAGTTTAAAATCAAAGATATAAGGCATTCCAGATGTTTGTGTGTGGCAGCTGTCCTTGTGCTATGTAGAACAATTGTTGATGCTGTAGTATGAGTCTGTGTTATTTAATTGCTGTATTGGGAATATAACTTAAAAACCATACCTCATTTGGAAAGCTGAACACCTGTGTAAAAATGCCACTTCAACTAATTTTTCTTCTTTCTTCTCAGTTCCTGCAGAACCTTTATTGTGCAAGTTTGCTGATGGAGGACAGAAAAAGAGACAGAATCAAAATAAATATATACAGAATGGAAGAGCATGGCACAGAGAAGGCGAGGTGAGACTTGTAAGTCCTCCCTTCAAGCTTTAGTGTGGGTGTGCAGTAATGAATACTTATGAAAATGATAGGCATTGAGACTTCTTGGCTTGGGTCTTTGGCATATTAACAATGTGCAACTAACTCTCACCTGACAGTTTGCAACTCTATAAAAAAATATTTAAGTGTGTCTTTCTTTAGAGGAAAAAAGGCAAAATGCAAAACACTGAATCCTACCTCATGAAAGTGAATAATAAAATGTCCTTCAAGTTGGTCATATTATAAACTTCAGCTTTCTCATATTATAAAACTACCAGAAACATAACTTTATTTACATGTAGTAAATAATCCTTTGATCTATACAGCTCTCAAATGCACATCACTTTCACAAGATTAACATAGTATACCAGTGCCATGCAGCATTAATTTCTTTTTAGTCAACAGTTGTTTTTATCTTTAATGTTCAAGATAATAGTTTCATAGAGCTACTGTGGTTAGAGAGCCTAGACACCTCATTTGTATTAGACAGGAAAATTCAAATGTGTCTTCTGAAAAACTGCACTCCCCATTCATATAGTTAATATATTGTAGGCAACACCCTAACATAATCATCTGCATGCCCTGACTCTCAAATGTACACGTGTTCTTTTAGCCAGGTATTTCCCAGGTTACATTTTGTTCCTCATGATGGGAACATGGAAACTTGTATTCATAGTCAATATCGCCAATTCTCTTCTCTTCACAGTATATAATTACTTCTGTCAATTAACCTTTCCCTAAGTTATGGTAATAAACTATTTCAATACAATTTTTCAGTTAAAAATAATACAACTAAAGAAAGAGTAAGAGAAATAATTTATGATCAAAATTAATTTTATCAACTCTATTTTTTCTACTTTTTTTAAAGGCTGGAATGACACTCACATATGATCCAACCACAGCTGCTTTACAAAATGGGTATGTTGAATAATGACACAGTAATTCAAAAAAATGTTTGCGTTATAAAAGATGCAGAGAACTGGCATTTAATAAATATTTCTGCATTTTCTAGATTTTATCCATCACCCTACAGTATTACAGCAAACAGAATGATCACTCAGACATCTATTACGCCATATATTGCTTCTCCAGTTTCCACATACCAGGTTTGTATTTAGAACTTAGGTGAAATGGTTCATTGGAGCTTGTGTTTATTTATCACTTGTTACATCTGGTTTTATGAATTCTCCAATAATGTTTCATTTTAATGAATTGGCCTCTTCGTGCTGTATAGCGTGAAAGGGACAGCCTTGAAACCAGTAGTGTGTGTGTTTTCAGGAAGCACAGCAATTTAATGAGATGCAGGATGTCTTGCAAAACAAAGTCTCTTAACTTCTGCTGATGGCTAAGGTATTTGTAACCACTTCTGCATTTTATGTCTGAGTTTTCATTTTCTCTCAGTCAAGTTCTTTTAATATCAACAATATATCTTTAAAGTAATTATTCTTTATTTAAAACCTTCTTTATTTAATTAAATTAATTTTCAAATATATGTTTCCATGCATTTTGAATTTTTATTTGTTTTGGTGCAGAAAGCCTGACAATAATGAGTTACGCAGTTGTACGAAGATGGGTACAGAAACTTGCTTGACATTAGAGAAGGAAATTTGAGAAAAGATTTCAGAATCATAATTACTTTAGCATTCAAATTCAGTGGTTTTCTGTTAGGAGTAAAGTATTTAATATCCTAGGACAATGTTTCTAAACCAAAGGCTACTTTATTTTGAACAACATATTAAAACATAAATCATTGACAGTTTTTGGTTTTAGAGCCCAGCCCAAAACTTTCTGAAGGGGGATTTTGATAGGTGCCATCTTGAGCCCCATAAGGGATATTGATGAACAATTCAATATGCTGGAAATTATATAAAACAGTTTTAATACTTTGATATAAATCTCTTAGGAATGCTCAATTTTAAGGCATCATACATTTCAGTTTACAAGCAACTTACTTTTAATGCAACTAGTATGGCAGTCTTACATGTATGCTCTGTAATTACTGCTTGAGATGTGTCAATTATCCTACTGTACACAAAATCATGAGCTATTTTGGCATTTACACATAAATGAAGTAAACATCAGTGATTCAGATCATAAATGACCAAAACTAATTAAATTTAGAAAATTCTTACCTCTCTATGTCAGGGGAAGGAAAAGAGCCTGTTTGCTCTTTAGTGAGAGTCGTGCTGAGTTTTCTGACTTATTGTGTGTAAGAATGCATTTGGAAGGCTATGTAAAGGGCATATAGAAGGCTAACAGAGGCACTGTGGGCCATTTCCTCAGTTTTCTCTTACAGAATTTTTCATTTAGCCTTCCATTCCAGGTGAGAAGAATGAGGAAGAATTATCTAATATTAGTTTGGAGATCTAATGCCTTCTTGCGTGAGCGAACTGTTGTGTAGGAATTAAAAGTGTTCTCCAGTGCAAAGGGCAGCTGGATTATTTTTATATTAATTTCTGAGGTAACTTATGCAACACAATGTTTGCTCTCAGCAGACAGTACTAGTACTGTATTTTTCAGTATATTGAATCATTCTGCTTGGTACAGCAGATCTCAGAAATTGCAGTAAGTTCTTACCCAGAAAAAGATTCCAGTAAAATTAGCTGCTACCCTTTATTAAAATATAAATTATTTATCCATATAAGACTCTGATATTCAGAATCCAAGCAAAAGCTGTGAGTTGGCATGGAAACATACTATTTAGGAATACAGTATTGTTTTCTGGGTTTATTGAGATAGGCAGACCACAATCCATTATGTTTCCAGAAATGTAGTTAGCAGTATTTCAATATACATAGCATGCTTAAATTATTGTGGATGGAGTTATGAATATCATTATGTTAGAAGTGCCACAGTAATTGGAATTGAAAATTAAATTGAAGTATTCTGTACTGTGGAGGAAGGAGGTTCTTGGCCAGAAGAGTTTCACAATTTGAGTATTAGTCACATCATTACTGATTACTCTCACTGAAACCTGCAGCATTCCGTCTTCTACAGGTCATATCACACAAGCATGATTTATTTATTTTTTTCTTTGAGGCATGGTATAACCTGCTCCTAGATTTATTCTTATTAAAGGTAAACAAGTTTAATAAAGTTTTAGCTAGTGTTTGTTTCTGCAACTCCTGTACACCCAAATGACTATACTAAGCCAGTTACTACGATAGTGTGAGTAAATTAGCCAAAGTTTTAGTCAGGGTGTACCAGTATTTTTGCCATTAAGATTTTGCCTGAGGAAAGGGAGTGTTCCAGTCTTTTCCATTCCATTTTTGAGCTCCTGTTTGCTCTTTTCCTGACTAGAAAAGAAAAAAAACTACTCTGATTTGAAAATCAGTACCAAAAGGAGGCAAGAAATATTTCCATCTTCCAGAAAATACCTCATCTGGATTGTTTTCAAAACTGTTTGTCTACCTGTCCTGTTCACAGGACTCTGGGAATGAATGGTTGAGGTGTTAACAGGGCTTTAAGTGTCCAGCAGCAGTGGTGAGTCAGTGTGCAGTGCAAGTCAGAATCCTGCCTTATCCTACACACCTATAGCAGGTGTGGAAGAAACATTTTTCTTACTTTTAATATTTCTTGCAGCACATTTTTTCAAAGAGCTGTTGCAACCAGGTCTTTTTAACTAGGATAACAGTATAACCTATTAGTTTACCTTTTTACTTTGCCATGCAAAGTTAGGCATGCTGCCACAATTGAAGTATTTGGGTGATCACTGGTTTTGGAGAGAAAATGCTTGTTGCAAGAGAGCAGGAATGCTCATCAGATCCTTCTTTTCTTCCTGTGCTTTGGGAATAACATACCGCAGTGTCTTGGAGAAGAACAGTTCTCCTAATTCTTCTCTTTTTTCCCGGAACAAGATTATGGCAGAATTCCTGATTTCTTTTTCACTTGTGAAAATACAATAATTTATTTTATTCTGATCACACTAGAAGGCAAATGATGTTATACCATCTGAGATCCCAATTACTTTTCCACAAAGGAATTTTGAAGACAGATGGTGCCTCCTTTTTCAACATAGCAGAAATCTATCAGTCATCTGTTTGAATCCTTTCGGTGTACTTGATAAAGTTTCTGAAACCTGCACTAAAAACATAGTATATTTTTCTGCAAGGTGTATGTGGTATATTGTCTCCAAATCTTGTCTCTGATTTACAGGTACAATTAATCCATTTTTTATAGAAATTAGTGTTGTTCCACAGAGTGACTAATTGGATTAAAAAGGTCAATAAATAAGGGAGAGGGCTTGCTAAGATGATTTATTAAATTTTTACTATAACTCAGTTGGAGTATTCATGAAAAGGATTAATAACATGAAAAATAAAATACCAATTTTGTTCTAGGTTCAGAGTCCTTCTTGGATGCAGCCTCAACCATATATAATGCAGCACCCAGTAAGTTTTTATTCTTCTCCATTGTTGTGTTACTCATGGTATAAATACTTTACATACTTTAAACAACAGGAAGTAGATCTATTCCTGCCGAGTTACTTTTAGATTTGACAATTACATCGTGACCAAATCATGGATCAAAATGAAAGGTGAAATAAAGATAGTAAACCTGAATTGGGGCCTCATTTTATCAGGTAAAATAAAAAAAGCTACCTTCAGACTATCAAGGTGATGAGGACCATTAGAGTTACCACATCAGAAAGAGGAAAATTTGGTGGGTTTTTTGTTTGTTTGGGATTTTTTGTTGGGTTTTTCTTTGTTTGTTTTGTTTTGTGGTGGTTTTGTTTGTTGTATTTTTACTTTAAAAACACTTTGCAAATATCAACGTTATACAAACTGTTTGTCCTTCAGGAGCTGAAATTAAAGACCCAATGTTTTAGAATGGGTCTACCATAGTTCAGACTGGATAATTTGTGAAAGACAGACAGATGTAGTGATATATATGACATTATGGGCAAATGAGAAAACCTGCATAGCCTGTTCTGGCTTCACCACTCAGGAGTAATGCTAATCTCCCTACACTTTTGTCTGTACTAGACTGTCAGGATTCTAATCTATACTTTCCCGTGATATTTTGCTTCTTATCTATGTCATTTGCCAATTAAGTACCATTATATCTGACACTTACTAAGTTTCTGAGATGAGCATTACTAGTAATACCAGGCACTTTAATATATGCACTCCAGTAGTTAACAAACACGTCTGTTTCCAGATATAGAAAGGACATGGTCTTGACTTTAATTAACCTCTCCATGCAGATTATAGAATGTAAGTCTACTTGGCAGAACATTTTCTTCTTGGGCATGCAGAAAAGGCGATGCTGAACCAGAACACCCTCTCACACACTTAATTGTTGTATTTATGGGTTTTGATGTTAAATACACACACAACAGGTTTTAACTTCCCTCTCTATCAACACAGATTTGCATAAAAAACCATATTGCAAATCATGCTGGGAAAGACACAAGTTGATATGTTATAATGCTATAAGGTATATTAGTTGCACAGGTACAAAAGATGAGATTTCAAGTTGAAAATAAAGATCTAGATTCTTGACTGGAGGTGAGTTTTGGCCCGTGTGAAGACAGGTGCTGTCTTGTTCATTTGCTTTTCAGAGAAGCCTGCAGTCCACAGACAGGAAATTCTTTCAGTAGTTGATGTGCCTGTGACTCATTTCATCTACACTGATCACATGGTTGTTTTGCCAACTGTATTCTATACTTCTTTTTATTTTCTTTTTTATTATTATTTTCTTTTAAGGATTAGTTATTATTTCAAAATATTGGCTTTCAGTACACCGCAATTATTTCTGTTAATTTTGAGCCTCCGTGAATTTTAATCAACACCTTCTGCAAGCATAAGTCAGGCAAAGTATTTGGAAATGTGTTTTTGTGGAACATGATTGGTAAAATGAAATTTCTTGATAATCCTGTCTCAGTTAACTGTGAAAACCTTATTAGTGTGCCCTCCATATTTAGAAATCTTGAGTGTTCAAAAATTCAATGTATAATTTTTATGAAGCTAGCGAAATGGTGCAGAAGTGATAGAAATGTCATCACAGCAGCTAGTATTTAGACAAAAAATCAGCATTGCTAACTCACTGTTGAAATCTGTGTGCTAATGAACCCAACCACTAAGTAGGGCAGCTGTTTTGTGTGTGAACATCACGTGTGATGGGTAGAATTCTCCCATCACAAATGTTACTCCAAAGCCCTTGTTCCTAAATATGAGATAGAAGTTTCTTCCTAAAGCATGAAATTCCAAAGCTTAAGCTAAGTGAAACTGTACCTGGTAATGTGTGCAAATTTTTGCTTTCAAGTTGGCATCTGGTTAAACTCATATTTTACAAAGCATTTTCAGCAGGTCTCTCAAGTGCATTGCACATCAGTTGCATGTATAATGGGAAGTCAATGAAGGTCTTACCCCATTACCAAACTGCAAAACACAGATGCTTGAGTAGAATATTTAGAATGCATCAGATCTGCTTTTCTGAGTCAGTGCCTGGGATTAAGGAGAGTTCTTGTGGTATATCCCCTCGGAAGGACAGTCCATACTTTGACTATCAAATAAAAAATGAAATTAAAATGTGAGTGTTGCAACCATTTCTTTCCATCTCTGTTTTAACAGGGTGCTGTACTGACTCCCTCCATGGACCACACCATGTCACTACAGCCTGCATCAATGATAAGCCCTCTGACACAGCAGATGAGTCATCTTTCATTAGGCAGTACTGGAACAGTATGTAGCAATTTCATACAAAACAGAACTTACACAAGCAGAAAATACTGTATGTAGATCACAGTATGCCTGTGCAGCTTGCATATAGAAAAAATTAATCCTTTAAGTCATCTTTTATCCAATAAACTGCTAAGAACTGTCTCCGTTTTTAAATAATATTTAGCAGTTTTTATTGAGTCTATTAGCTGATCAGAAATTGGAAATGAGTAAATAAAAATAGATCAAAGCTAATGAAAGGAACCTGGGAGGTAACTTCAGAGTTGCATAAAAAAAATTAAAATAGTTGGTTTTACTCTTCGTATTCCTTTCCTCAACTCTGATCTCCTAAAGTGTGGAACAGAAAGTAAACCAGAAGAAGAGATGCAGGCTAGCTTCTAAACTGCAAGACCTTTCTTTTCTGAACAGATTAAAAAAAGAAAATGATTGGGACTAACAAAGAAGGAAAAGTCCTTTACATGGTCTTTGAAGTCTAAATTTGAATTTTCTCAAAATAGATATGTGAGTTTTCTGGAAAGCCTGTTGATTTCAGACACAAAAGTCTTTCTCTCATGTATGTTGCTCTAGGGAAACAGTCGATATCTATTAAACAATATCATGATAAGTATTTTGAATACTCATAAATTTACACTGGGCTTTAACTCAATGTAATGGACTCTGTCTTTCTAGTACATGCCAGCCACAACAGCTATGCAAGGAGCCTACATCCCCCAATACACACATGTCCAGACAGCAGCAGTTCCTGTTGAGGTCAGTATATTCTATCAAAGAGCAGAGATAAGAAATATTATTATGATTTTTTTTTTTTTGGCCAGGAAAATTAACGCTTAAAGGCAAATACTGTTACTGTGAATGTACTGTGAATGCAATTTATATTAAAATTATAAAATATCATTATTCTCAACTAATAGCTAGTATTATAACAAGGAATGACCTGTACTTATAGCAGTACAGTACTTGGAGCAGTTTTCTCTATGAGCATAGCTCTGGCAAACCTTCTGTTTTGTGAAACCTAACTCCAGTAGGAACAAGACAGGGAGTGTATTGTATTTTTGATCTTTCATTTAGTTTACCTGTGAGAAAAATTCTCTGCCAACAGACCATGATTGTAATTTTTTGCAGAGAATCCTGATTGACCCTGGCAACTCAGGGTTCTGTGCATATTTGTGTAATAAACCCCTCCATTGAAGAAGCTTATTAGTCTAGTTGGAGAACATAACTAAATGGTAGACCATAGTTTGTCTACTATTTTGACTTACCTTACACCCTTTCATAGGTCAGTACTCCTTTACAGGAGCTAGACAAGATGTACTGCAGCTCTTGTATCCAGAATGAGTGCTAGACAGTCTCTTCTAGAACCTCTAAAAAAAGATACATTTCATTTCAAAACCTATTTGTCCAGAAATTCCAGAAGTTGTGTGGATCAGTTTGGTTCATCTGCCCATATTGATCAGAGAATTACCTTTAGTAATTAGCTCCGGCTGCCAAAGCACTCTCAGCTGAATTATTCCATGATTTCTGGGGGGTCTGGGTGCAAAGCCCCGTCTACAATTCTTTGTGTTGCCTAGTGCCAATCACATCACAGTACTCATAGTGATGGCATTTGTATATGTGGCAAGTAGATCTCATTCTTCTCGCTGTCCCTCAAAAAGAAAGGGGCAGAATGTTCTTTTGCATTTGCAGATAGAAAATATTCAAGCGCTTATTTGCTCTCTCTCAGTGTGTTTATTTCTATAATGTCAAAAGTTTCAGGATTTTTTTTTTAATTATCATCAAAGCAGCTGAGGAAATACAGGGTTTGCATTATCATTTTATTTCTCTTGTTTGCTGAAATGTAAATCAATGTAAAGTTAACACCTCAGATTTGTAATACCTCAGTTGAGGAATGTTAGGAAGGTTTTAGATGTGAACACTGTTAATTGCAGAAGTCACGTTGAAATGCAGATTGCTGGTAATGATACCTGATTTTGTGTCTCATGGCTCGTCTTCCTTTTTATTTGCAGGAAGCCAGTGGTCAACAACAGGTTACAGTAGAGACATCCAGTGACCATTCTCCATATACGTATCAGCAAAATAAATAACCGTGAGGTAGGGGCTCATCCTGTCTCATGAAAGATGTAATTCAAAGATACTTTATTTCATAACTTACAGTACTCTGTATTGAACCCTTTTTTTATTGTCATATAAATAGTCCTGATGATAATATCTGGGGACAAGAAGTGAAATTAGTTTGAACTTAGCCAGAGTCAGAAGCCAGGGAAGGAAACATGGGATCCAGAAATGAGTTAATAAATTATGAGTAATATTGTGTTAATAATTTCTATATAGCATAACTGGATTATGTTGGATTTTAATTTGTTCATTTTAGTAGCATGTTGTATACAGAATAACAAGGAATTAGTGCAAAAATATGAGAATCAAAATGCTAAAGGGAACTGTATTGAAAGACATGCTCTAGTTCTGTGGTACATATAAGGTGAGAAGCAGCTTTGCAACTGATTTACAGACCACAGGCAGGGAGGTTGTCTGGTAGAAATCCTTGCTGACCTTTTCTCCTGAAGACTTCTCTGCTCATTCTTTTTTCTAGGAAAAAGCAGTTTTGTCCAGAATTTTGTCAATTAATTTTTAATCCATGTCCTTGTTTGGTTCTAATTCCAGAGTTTTGCTTTCCTACTCCAGGTTTCCTCTGGTTTTGCTTGCATGGCCTTTTTTACTAGCCAGTCATTAGCTTTACCTGCACTTCTTTCATGCAAAATTTTCTCTTTCTGTAGATTTCCGTCCTGAAAATGTTGCTTGCACTAATCATTTCCTTTTCCATGATCCATGTTTTAAAATTCTGGAATTTTCTTCTTTTTTAACTCATCTTTTTTTTTTTTTTTTTTTTTTTTTTTTTTTTTTTTTTTTTTTTTTTTTTTTTTTTTTTTTTTTAGTGCTTTTTAAGCTGGGCAACTTGACTAAATAATTTTTTACATCACATTTTCTAAGACCTCACACTGAAAAATTCCGTTCAGCTGCAATAATGTGCTAGAGGCTGTCTTAGAAGGGTTTTCCTACAGCCCTCGTGGCATTTGTTAGATACTGAAAAATCGTAATCAGTTATGTGCTACAGTTGTATGATATTCTCTCTAAAATATATTGATCCAAGAGAACATTAGGCATTACCTTTGATTCTGCAGGTCAGCTGTGCTATTTGACAACATTGCTCTCATCCCCATAATTGGCATAACAGCTTCTTATATGTAAAGATAGAAACAAACCAATGGGGAAACTTGGCAAATTCAACAGATGGCCCAGCCTGCGTAGCACAGCATATGACCTGTGTTATTCCTGTACTCTGGCCAGATGCTGGCATCTAGAGAAAGCCCACATCCTTGATTTGCTTCCAGGACAGGCAGTAAGCAAAGCCACAGGCTCTTCTCGTTATCCATCTCCTAGTGTTAAAATCATGACTCCTGCACGTTTCCCATGCCAAGGCTGTTGCCTGGTGTTAACCGCTTTTCAAGGAATTATTTGTTTTGCCTTAAGTCTTCCCTCTGGGCATGTAAAACCTCCTTACCAATAGGGATCTGTGGTAGACAGCGAGGCGTAATCCTGCATGTCATATCCTCATCCTGCCTCTCTCTCCCAGCCTGTCAGTATCTTTCCCATAGACTGAAACCAGGCAGGAGGAGCAGCCTTAAGTCTCCTGAAAGGATGAGTTGTGTTGCCATCTGAGACACATTTTGTATTGATGACTCTGTGTAGAATTCCAAACTCTGTGAGCAACTCTGTGTGTTTGCTGTCAGTTCTTCACGTCTTATTCTTCAGAGAAGCACTGTTACCTGTATTTATATGCAACAGGAGCCAGTGAAATCTGTGACAGCAGTGGCTATAGCAGTGGATACGCGGGGAAGGTTAATATTACTCAGGTGATTTCAGCCTCAGAGTATGGCATTTGGTATTTCTGTCCCTGGAACATGCTGGTACTTGTCTTGTTTCAGACAGGTGAAGGGGAGGGATTTGACTGATATTTTGTGCCCTAAATACAGGGAACACTGCGGTCTCTTGATTGTTGTAGCTTTGTTACTCTTGTCAAACTGAAACTTTCTAAATGCACATGCAGCACTTTTGGGAATGTCCTATTTAAAGTCAATATACATATTCCCATAAATGAGGGGTAAATGACAACTAGCACATTTGCACAAGTGGATGCAGTCAATCAAAAATACACAGCACCTTTCCTTTGGCAGCTACATTTAATAACTTCACAACTTCTTTTCAAAAAGTTGCTCCTATGTGAAAAATAGTCAAACGGACTTGAAAAAACACCCCCATTTTATATGCACCTATTAATGTACAAGCCTTAAAATACCACACTTTGCCTTGCCTTGAGAAATTAAAAAATTGTCTAAACTTTTTTGTCATTAGCTGGGTATTTTTTTTTTTTTAAACCCGCATGGCAATATAAGCCAATACAGTACACTGAGAAGTCTGCCTTCAAATTGGATGAGCCCTGAATTGCTGTTCAGTATTGCCATCATGGAGGCACAGTAGCTGTCTCTGAGTTAGCTGTTGTACGCAGCCTCCCTGGGGCTGCACTGAAAGAAAGTTGTGTTCCTTTTCCAGAAATCAAAAGCCTTGGAGATGCCACAGGAGTAGCACACTCAACCACTTTTGGTCAATTAAAAGGAAATAACAATAACAAAACAAAAAAGAAGGGAAGAGCTTTGAGTGCAGCCTCACAGCTCCCCAGTGGGAACTCTGCATGCTGAGCAGTTATTAGAGAAAGAGGGGGAAATACAGTACAGGCTGTGTCCTGGCAGAGAGCCTTTTCCTGGGAAGGGCCGAGAACCTGGAGTGCCGCCTGTGTTACTTCTCAGGTTTATACTCAGATTCACTTAGTCTTCTCTCAGCTGTCTAAAATAGGAAATTATTTAGTTTGGTGGACAGCTACATTAGAAAAAAGACGTGTGATTGTAATTCCGCTCTAGCTCTGACCTTTCTGTGTTACAGATGTCCAGTGTTGACCTGGCCTGGAGAAGGGTGCAAAGGCTGAAACAATCATGGATTTTACTGATCAATTGTGCTTTAGGAATTATTGACAGTTTTGCACAGGTTCTTGAAAATGTTATTTATAATGAAATCAACTAAAACTATTTTTGCTATAAGTTCTATAAGGTGCATAAGAAAAACCTTAAATTCATCTAGTAGCTGTTCCCATGAACAGGTTTATTTTAGTAAAAAAAAAATTTTTATCAAGTGTTATGACGCAAAAAAAAAATATTCAAATTTCTGGGTATGCACAGATGACCACGAAGACTTATTCACGTGCATGACAGAATTTGTGTTTTGGGTTATTTTTATTTTGTTTGTTTCTTTTTTCTTTTTTCTTTTTCTTTTTTTTTTTTTGTATGAAATGGATTTTCTGAAGTTTAAAATAGTAAAACATCTAATATGATGTTCTGTGCTTGCAGTGTGTGAGTGTTGCTTTAGTGCAGTGTTGCAGTTACAGTGTCTGGTCTTTTAGCTTTCTGTTTTTCTTTTAATGTAGTGTGAAGTGTCTTATCCTTTTCTATAAATTCCAATTTGCCTTAAATCTTTCAATGCTGTAGCTGTTTCAGTAAGTAGTCCAAACTAATGGTGTAGAACGCTTTGACCAAATGAGCTGGTCTATTATGCCTTGTAAAACAGCAGCATAGGGCTTTTAAAGGTAGTCAATAAAAATTGCTGAAAATTTGGCTTTTTTAATGTGTAGTAAGTGTTTTTAATGATTTTTTCACATAATATGTAAGGTAGTGAAATGCAAGAGGGGAAAAAATGTTTTGTGTGAAACACATTTTCTGACTGGGGAAATTTTAATAGTATAAATTGTTTGTAAGGCCATATGCCAATAGTTCCCTCTGGTAGTTTGAATGATTTAGGAACTCTGCTGTATGATGCAATGTAAAATCTTTTTTTGCCTTTTTTCAGAAACTAACTTGATGTTCTAGTTTTAGCATAGGTAGAATAGGGAGTTTGGGGTGGAGATATCACCGAATGTTTTTGTCCTTCCTTTATACTAATGATAGTGCTTTAGGATGAGGATTGTGCTGAGACTTAGCAAACAGAAAAGTTGCTATTACAGCAAAATGGCAAAAGCTAAAGGACTCGTTTTTCAAACATACGCTGAGATCTAAGTAGAGGCATAATTGATTGGGTACTAGCTCTCTATAGTAGGTAAATAAAAATAAAAAGACTTGGCACTTTTAAAAGGTAACTTTACCAAAGAACAAAGAGCCAGTAACCAATAATTCTGATTTGTCTCAGCATTGCGTCTTCTGTACTCTTTATTTTTGCCGGACCAGTTTGCGGTTAGGAGAATGTGCCTTTTTTGTACATTTGCATTTAGGTTTTATAATTTTAATTGATGTATGGACACAAAAGCATGAAGGAAGACTTGGATCCAAGCAGTGCCACACTTTACATCATCACTACAAGTGTTAAGTGTAAAGAAAACCAATTTTGAAACTATGAAATTCCTGATTCATAAATACACAGTTATTTGTACTTCACATATTAAATAATTCACTGCTACTAAAGCTCTTTATTACAATTGCATATGTTTTAAATCGAATGATAAATTAAGTTGTCTTCCAAAACTGTGTACTTCTCTGGTCAGCTGTATATGATCAGTTATCTACCTCAAAGTTTATTTCCTTTTGTATTGGGACAGGTTGCTGGCCCTCCCTGTTTCCACAGACCAAATCATCCTAGCTCAGGAGCTAGGGCTAAGCAGTTGTTTCTTTCAAGTATTTTTTAGTTTTTAAATTTTGTGTGAGTATTGGAGTATAGATGTCGGTGACATTTCATAGTTTCAAAAGTAAATTGCTGCTCTGAGAAGTGTAGATTCTAGTGAAATGCATAGTCATAAGAGATGTGTTTTTGTTTTTTCTTTTTTTAAAAAGTTGTGGTATTATTGGTTCTATGCTCCCTGGAATATTACTGCTTTGTAAAAGTCCAGACTTCCTGCAGCACCTTGCCTGTATTTGGTAACTTTCCAAACCTGGATCTCTCACTAGTTGCTATTTTTGCGTTAATTAAAACTGCAGTATGATAGCTGTGTTAGAGGGAGGGAAGAGTTGCTGCCAGAAATGTCTGAACTAAGTGCCATACTCATTGTCTGGGTAAGATTTGGGAAATTTAACCTCTGTACATAAAGAAATAATCAGTTACTTAAACATCACATAGTAGACAGCCATTAAATTATAAAAAAATTAATTTATGAAGAAAGACCTTTTGTACAGATTGAAAAAAAAAAGATTTTCATAGAGATATCTATATGATCAAGAGAGTTAATTTTTTATTTTTGTTTTACTAGTGCCACAAACTTGCCAGTGGTAAATTATTTGTCCAGTTCAAGATAACTCTGTAGTTTTGTTTCCTAGGACTTGTTGTTAAACGCCAAAAGACATTTTTGAACTGTAAATTTGATTAGATTGTTAGCTTTTTTCTGTTTTATTTCTTTGAAAACTTTTGAATAAAAAATATCAAAAAAAAATGAAAATGTTTCGTCTTTTTCCTTCAGTCCTTCCTTTACTGGGGGAAAACCTCAACAGGTTATGGTAAAACCTTCACGTTTATTTTGAAATCTTTGAAGTTGCTTTCTGCTTTACCATCTAGGTTTTTCCCTCCTCTATCTTTCATTAAAATCAAATTTTAACTCTTTCATATCAACTACAAAGTCACTCTTTTAGGCAAAACAAGAAAAGATGTATGAAAAGTATATGATGAAATGTGTGATCTGAATGCAAAAATTCTATTGTTCTCTGTGTCAACCCACACGGAGAGTTGTGTGTAACCAGGTTTGCATGCTGTAGTTGTAAATGCTAGCCATTTTTCTAGAAGTAAAGGTGGAAATGGAGGGTCACTTTGGTAGCTCATAGTATCAGACTGCTTCCTACAAGTGCTTATTTTCCCTACGTGTGCTGGCGTTGGCTGGCATACCCAGTTCTGGAGAGCAGAGGTGATGCTTCACTGGAATGCAAAATGATCCCCAGTGTTGCCTTCCAGCTGCAATCTTTAAGCACTTTATTTCTTTAAAGATAATCTCTGATTTTATTATCCTTTTGGCAAGATCACTACTGCTGATGGCATGTATCCGATAGAGGACTGCTCTGCCCAAAGTAAGGCTTCGGAAAACAAGAGAGGAAAATTCAAACTATTGTGTCTCCTCAGCCAAATGCTTTACCAATTACATGGTCTCGATGTGGCTGTGTATTGATGTGTAGGGCAGGAGAGGGGCTCTAACCTAGCTTTGGGTGCCCAAGAGTGCACCCAGTGGCAGACAACAGTGGCTGAGTGATCCAGTGGGCTCCTGCACCTTGCTATGGGTGCTGGAGCAGCAAAAGGGAGGCTCACCCCAGACTGCGCTGCTCTGGAGAACCCTCTCTCTCTTGGGAGACAGTCCTTTCTACTACATACCTGGCTTTGAGGTATCCCAAGGGCTCAACGAGCCCTGTGGTGGGCCAGGCAGCCTGCTGGGGATGTCAGGTGGGGGCATGTTGCAGGCAGTGTGCGGCTCAAGCTTTCAGTCACACAATACTAGCACAAGATACTGAGGATAAATGTGTTTCCAGTGGAGCTAGCACCTAGAGGTTGGGAAACTTGGTTTACAGTAGCTTATGCAATGAAGACATCCTCAGCAATGATGGCCCTTATTACTAATGGAGAGAAAAAAAATCACATTCTGCTACTAAGTACTCGACTCCTGTAACTGAAAAAAATACCATTTAACCATTTTGGAGTCATTTAAATATTGGCCCAGTATGTTGCCTGTCTAAAATGGAATGCATAAGAAGATTAATACAGAAAACTTAAAGAGGGTTTTGTTAATTATTCATGTTTATCACCATACTGAATTAATCTCAGATCAATAAGCAGTCTTTTTGAATTAAGTATGAATACTACCTTACAAAAGCTGTATGAAAATAGACTCGGTGCAGGATGGAAACAGTTTTTGATCTTTGTTTGCTTTTGTAATTATCCCTATGATAAACTTAGCTCTCTCACTATAATTGATAAGAATGAATGCTTTCAGATTAGTACCTTTTGCCTGATATAATAAGGTTGTGTGTATTATTTCTATCAGGCGATCTGCAGTAATGCAGTATCTTTATATAATATGCTTTTATTGCATATAATAAAACTCGTATTTATTACCAACTGCCTCATTCAAACATTGACTCCATCCTCTTGCATACAACCTGTTTTGAACCCTACTCGCAAACCTGCTGTTAATAAATTCTTTTACCTCTTAACAAATACAGATAAGCATTATATTCATGTAGGGTAATTGTGTACCAAAACAAATGCTGTGTGTAAGATCAATGCACCGACCTTGTTGTTTGTTGGTTGTTACTGATTAGAAAGTAGCCTTTCTTTAGGCACTGAACATAATCTTTTATTTTTCTTCATTTTCTAAATTAAGTGCTCTGGGCAGGTGCAAGACAAGTAGTATAAGAAAGTACTGTTGAGCAACTGAGACCTGCTAATGACTGTTTGCATATATTGGGCTAGAATAGTTGTAGAGTAAGTCGGAGTAGTCTAAAGCACTTTCCTGGTACTCTGTGTTAGTTTTTCATGGGGAAAAAAATTATTAGAAAGTGCTGTTTTGCTGTCCCCTTCTAGCTTTAATTTATGCCATGATACCTCTACCATAGCAGAAAAACTGAAGATTTACTAAAACTGTGTCACCTTAATTTGCATAGAACCATCATATCAGAGCTGCATTTTATGTGCCAGAATATTTATATAGGTTTGTGCTCCTACTCCTCCTGTGCACACTTCACTGCACTTGTTTCTTTTGCTGTGATCAACCACTCCAAAATTATTTGCAAATTTCCACATGTGTTGGAATAAGATACTTAATCCTATCCTGTCCAGCAGTGTCTTATTGTGAAAGCCAATGTATTACTTGGTGGCATTTAAGATATGTGTGCTGTTACCTTCCAAACTCTTGCCACATTGACATAGTCTTTCTACTGTGAAAGATCATCTGTATCATTCTCCAGCCAACAAATTCTGGCATTGATTAACCCAAACAAATCTGAGGCTTTTGGCTTTCGGTCTTGGTCCATTAATTCTATCCAGAATAGGGGTTAGGATATACAAAACCTATTCTGTTTGGCAACTTCTCCTCCAGCAACTAAGAAAAGCCAAGCTGATGTCAGAACAGCAAAGATTTACAGTGCAGTGACCAGAGGGAGAGTGTAAAAGCCTGCATGTGGAGTGAGTCAGTCTTTCCTTTACAGGACAACTAACCACATCTACCATCTGAGAAATCTGTGCAGCTCATTTCTGTAGTAAAGGAGAAATATCAAGGAAAAATACTACTGGATTTTTTTCCATGTCCAAGAAGAAAGGCTAGATTCTCCACAGACAAGCTGTAACTGTTTAGCTTATCTTGCCTTTTACAACAGTTTCCCCTCCCTCCATGCTTACATCAGTGGTGTTCTGAATTCTACTGTGTTATATTGGTGTCCCTTCAGCTGAATAAACTGACCTCTTTTGACAGCTTCCCTGGGATAGAAAGAGATTTTTGGGGAACTTAAGGAATGAAGGTGTGTGTCACCCTGAAGACTTCCCACATGCACACTACAGGTGTTCAGGTCAACCTGCTCATACAGCTTTCTAAGTAGCATTATTGTTTTGGAGCTGAGCATGCAAGTGTTACCAAGGGGAAAGGTGCTTGGAAAATGGTTTCTGCACATGAACTCTGCTGATTTAAAGAAGTCATCTGCAGCAGGAATTTTCCTAAGTATTTTTACCACCTGAAATTCACACACAGGGCTGATGGTTTTTAAGCAACATCTGTGAAGCACTTGAAAGTAATGGAATAAAACAATTATTTAAAAGTAGGCCAAGAGAAAATTTGCTAGTAAATTCAATGTTTTGGTAAATAATTTTAGTTTTTTGCAAGTACAAATAGAACATTACTTTTCCTTTTTGTGCTTCAGCCTTTCTCCAATGGGAAAGAATTACACACCAATGAGAAAATACTCCGCTAATTTTTTTTACCTTCCAGAGAATATTAAAAAAAATGAAGATGTATTTGTACTGATATCTTTAGCCAGTCTGAAAGATAATCTCTAAGCAGTATGTACATAACTAGGTGCATGAAGCAGTTATTTATTGACCAGTTCACAGCAAAGAAAGGATTTCACAAGCCATTAGGCTGAACGTGATTCTGCTCACCAAGCAAGGTACTAGCAGTGGCTTTGCTGGCCAGGCAGACATTGGGCGGGAGGGGAAGGGTCAGTCCCTGCAGCTCCCTGGAGCAGACCCTCAGCATTGCCACATTTCTGTCCTCTCTCAAGCTCCATCAGTGCCCCTGACACTGATGACTTGTCCCAACAAACTGACCTGATGCTTCCTGACTAGCCTTGCTCTTCCTTTAGATTTTATACCCTTTCCATGTTGCTGCTTTCCCTCCTGAACACTTGAGGTACTGACAATCCTGTCCTAATAGCTCTACCTTGGTGCATAGTTTTACCTTTCCTATTTCCCCAGGCTTTCTCACAGCATTTTTCCAGCACTCTGAGCAAGGATACACAGCTGGGCTGGATCAGAGTTGGGCCCTCGTGCATAGGGAACCTTGGCCCTGGGAGAGGGGAGGGAGGCATACAGCAGGGTCTGCAGCAAGGGATGACATATTCCAGGTCTTCCTCATGTCAAGAAAACATTCAAGTGCAGTTGGAGGAGCGAGTGTTCAAAGAGCTGCAAGTGTTGCTGTCTTTGCCAGAACAGAATGAAAGCTAGATTTCAAACAGCTTTAAGAAAGACCAGTGCAGCTAGATAGAATGAAATGCTCCAGAAGTTCCCAGCTGTGTGTACCATAGGTTCGTGACCTCCTTCAGCCCTGCCCTGCTCAGTTTCCAAAGTTCAACAAGTTCCAGCTGCTGGTAGGCAGTGGGTTCTAATGTGAGTGGGAAGGAGGCAGCTCATCAGCAACTCACAGGCTTCACACAGCAAAAAGCCCTTTTGTCACTTGTGCACTCAAGCAAGTCACTGCACCCTGATCTCCTGAGCTGCAGAAGTTATGGAATAAAGCAAACAATAGGTATGTAAACTTGTGTACAAGAGTGGAAACACTTTGGAGTTTAAGTTGTTTCTAGGTAAACTGTTTTTGAGAGTGGTCTAGCTCTGTCTAGACTCGGTGTTGTTACCCTCTATTCCAGGGTGAATTTTGTACTGAAGTGTTGAAAATTGAGATTTCACTTATTAAAAAAAAATGAATTAAGTAGTTACAGGAATTCCTCTCCTAAAAATATTTTGCAGATGAAACTAAGCCAATTGTCTCTGGGAAAACAATTCAGGACAAACCATACCATTGCGTGTATTACAGTAAGCATATGCACAGCTCATCTCCTCCAGATGGGGATCATCTGATCAGCCCTGCAATGTGCAGTGCTGCCCTGTTTTAAGGCTGCAATTAATTGTCTAAGCGATGTTGTGCTGCATCAGGAAACACAACGGTTGGACCTGCCCTTTTAT